CCCCAAAACCCCAAAACCCCAAAACCCCAAAACCCCTTCAAGCTATAATATACAATTTTAGAGAAATAAATAATTTAGTTTCAATATAACTTAAGATTAGATCCGACCAAACTTGCAGTAACTATACTATTTTGAGAGGAGGTTTTAATTGAGTTAGCTATTTGGTCTAATTCTTCTTCATCAATCTTCATCTTTTATTCAAGGCTTCTCAGGTACTCCTGAATGTCTATTTTGCGACTTTAGGCTTCTGTAGTGATGTTATTGTATAAAACTTGCTTTAAGTTCTGTTGAAGATCATTTTTCCTCAAATTCATCTCATTAGATCTCATGCTAAATGGTGCCACATCCTTTGAAAGTCTTTCATTCGATTAGTTAGATTAATTATGAGTTGAAGAGAATAACCATTACTGATTATTGTCTAAATTAGTTAAAGAGTCATTAGTATGGCCATTTCTACCGTTTGAGTAAGTTAATTAAGTAAGCCTGTCATCACTCTTGGTATCTTTACTCTTTACTATCTCGTAAAAGCTATCCTAATCTAATTAATCATCACTTCCTCTATCTTAATCATGTTGAACTTGCTCAGTAATGAAATCACTTAGCTCAACAGCGAATGATTAGCCACCTGCAAATGAATGTTCCATCATGTTTATCGGTTATGGATTATACTCTTTGCTATATCTCTAACTCTCAACTACGCTCATATTGAATGTAGGAGTCATTGACTTGTCATAATTTTAATTATTTTGTGAGTTAAAGTTCGCTGTATTAGTTGTATTGCTTGTTCTTTAAGTACTTGAATTAACTGGTTATTGCGTTTGATATATTAACTAGATATTCTGAGTGGGATTTAAATTTCTTGATGTTAAGTTACCTTTCTAGCTTGAGTGAACTGAATTATTATTAGACTCTCTGCTTAAAGTTGAGCTTGTGGTTTTATTAATGTTTACTTAGCTGTTACTTTATATGCTTTAATTTATAGATTGGGATTATTATCTTGAAGTCAAGGTGCCAGAGTAAGCAGGATCTGAATACTACACACTTTTTAGATCATGATTTTTACTCTGATTTGATCTTATTGACACATCTTATTTCTTTAGTTTTCTTTCATAGTATTTTGCTGCCTAAGTGTTATTTGAGTAGGTATTAGGCTTAAATGTATGATCTCTTCTTAAATGCTTATCAATTATTTTTATTTTTTGCTCTTTCATATCAATAAACTTCTCCACTCTGGATAAGAAATCATCAATGTGAAACTTATCGTTCTAGCTAAGAATAACACTAGAAGATAAATTGATTTTAGGTTTGAAAGTGCATTGCTTATCAATATCTCTTTCCTGCTGATTTTTATTCTTTATTTAATTATACTACTTTTCTGCCTACCAGATATAAATCTATTCAACTATTTGCTTTATTTCTCTTGGCTATCTTCCCTTTTGCTTGTTTACTTTAGGCTTAAAACTGGGGAAGAATTCATCAGGATCTTTTTAGATGCTCTCTTCAAAAATCTCTGCCTCAAATTAACTCCTTTTCTGCTGAGTTTACTAAAGTACTTTATCATATCTCTCGTGGATGGGCACATATTGATTCTTTGATTTAGTTAGCAATTTATTTGATTTCTTGCATATTTCAGGTTGTTATCTCAATTCCTCCAGCTCTCTCTTGGCACTCAGAAGTTAAATTCGCTCTTTAAGTTCTTTTCTTCGAGTAGCATCATCAAATAATCTTTGAACAGCTGTGTTAAGTACTACCTCAGATTAGTTTAGATTATTTTCGTCATCCTCATCTTCATTCTCTAATGTCTCCTCATTAAAGATATTCATATTTGTATTTTGATTGTTCGACGTTGTAGTGAAGATAGAATTCTATGGCATATTGCTCAGTGTTTCTTTTGATTGAGCTTGATTAGCTCTAAACTTATTATTTTTCTATTGAAGAAGTTTTGATTGAGAGGGGTTTTTCTATGTTCCATAGCTAGGGGTATTTCTTTAACTCATCTACAATTCCTTTTGCTATTGAAAGTTTTTGAGATTTGATGAACCATTTCTCATGTTCATGTTATCATCTTAGAATTTACTAGTCATTTGCGATCTATTTTCCATTTCCTCATTTAGAATTTTCGCTAACTAAATATGAATAATCATTAGAAAATCACCTTACTCTAACTTCTTCTTGCTAAATGAGTTTTGCTTCATCTTTCAGATCATATTTCAAACTTAACTCGTATGCTTTATCTGCAAGTCCCTTTATCGTTCTTGATATTATCTATTATACAATTAGTTTTTATATGAATTAGTACACTATCCTCAAGCATTGCCGATGAGTTCAGGCTATTGCCATTTGAATTAGCTGAGGTTGGACCAAAATTTGTATTTATTTTAGTTGGCTATTGATCGTCTAAATCAAAAAAATTATCATCATCATCTTCATCCTGATCTCTGAATCTATTTTAGTGAGCCATATCTTGCTCATAGGGCTAGAAATATTACGCTCCTTGTTTTTACTATTTCACACCTGTGGGTTTTGGCTTTTGCTGCTTATTTTGCATTATGATATATTATAAATTTTATTACGTTTTAATTAAAGTTAATCTAATTAATTCAGTCCAAATCTAATAACACACACTATTAAGATTTCACTTAAGATAGATTTCAGTTTGACTTCAATTTCTCTGTGAACTCCTGTTGCTTCTTCTCATGAATCTATGCCAACTCTTAGATTTTGGCGAATAAGTCATCTTTAGTAGCATGATTAGTTTTTAAGTGATTAAGTCTATCAATGAATTTTTGCTTGAGATTATTGAGTGACCATCTATCTAGATCTTCAATCAATTCACTATCTTCATTATTCAGTCCTGGGTATTTCTAAGTTTAAATAGGACCTGAAGTTTACTTATTGAGTCTCTCTTATTTATCAGATTTATCTATTTTATTTTCCTCAGTGTTTTTCTAATTTTTCTCAGTATTCCAACCATCTTAACTTCCATTATCTTCATGAACTGTTCCACCCCCTTCATGCTCAGTCTGCTGACTTTATATTAATTCTTACTATTCTACAATTGTGTTTGCCGATTTCTTTGACATATCTTATCTCATTGTTAAAGAAGAGAGCTGCTGTAAAGAACCTGTAATTTCTTCATTATGAATGACTCTTCTATCTTCAACGTTTAGCTACATTATTTCATCTCCCTATGTAAATCTGATTAATTTTATATTTTACCTTGTGGGATTTTACAATCAATTAAATTGGATCATTTACTATTGTTTACTCTTCGAAATACTTTTTCTTCTGCAATTCAACCCTCTCTTATAGACTCTTTGGTGCTAACTACTGACTAGAGAGTTCAGTAACCTTCACTGGATCTATATCTCCTGACAAAATCTAAAATCTTAATTCAAAGTTTTCGTCATTTTTTAAAGCAGTATAAAGCTATCTGTACTTGCTACTGTAGTCTTTACTCTATTTATGAAAATGAGATATTAGATTGAATTTACCACTGATTCCTCAAAGCAAACCCACATGCCACTTTCAATTTTAGTCGCAATCTTTGTGCAGAAATCATATATTTGGTCTTAGTCTCCATCCATATTAAAGTTCTTTATCTAATCTAGATTTCCCTTCTCTCTGGCTTCTTCAACTCCAAGAAGCAAGCTAAATGTAAAATTTTCTCTAACTACTTTCCTTGTTTTTTGAACACCAGAAATCTTGTTGATATTATTATAATTTTCACTCTTTTATCGGATAGTATTAATATACTCATCTAATTTAAACGCAATCACCTCATTCTATAGACATGGAAAGGGAGATTTTTTTAATTGCTACAGTTCAGAATCTAAATTTTGAGTTTCAATTTACTCTGATTGATTAAATTGATTTATCTGTTGTTCCTTAATCTTAGGCGAGTCCAGCTTTTGCCTTTTGATTGACCTATGATCCTCATCGTTTTCAATCTGATTATTAGCTCCAGAACTTGAATCTATATCTCCATCTACAGCCGATCTTTTGAGATTGTAAATTGCTTTGATAGGGATTTCCTCTTTACATTCAAAGCATCTTCTGTCGGCATTTTATCTCAAACATTGAGGATGCATGAAGGCTTGACATTTTTCACACATTATAGTCTCATCATCAGGATTAAGGAAACATCTGCAGACACAGCTTGGCTTTAATTCGGGAATATAGTTTCCTCCGTTTGATGTTCTATTGAATCTCTATCTGAAAAAGAATACATCTGCTTCATCAAGATTTTAATTAGAAATAGTCCTAATATCTGGGAAATCAGCATTGGGATGCTTAAATCTCTGTTTAAATTCCTACAGTCTAAGTACCTCAACTTTCTTTCTGATATTTTCCTTAAACTCCTTTGCAGTTTCGTCAGTTCTAATTAGTTCAAATTTCGAATGATATTGCTATCTCCCAGCTACAATTTTTAATAAAATTATTCTTACCAGGAAGATCCTCCGGCATAGCATAAATTGTGAAAGTTATGATCTTATCATCCTATGAGTTTATTTTAGAATGTCCTTATTATGAGAAAAGGCCTTACCTTTACATCTGTAACTTTGCCAATTAGTTTCTTTTCTCTATCGATATTGAAAACTAAAATGAAGTCGCCTTGCTTTACTTCCATTAAAAGTTATATTAATTTTATGATTAACTTTGCATTTTTATAAGATGTCTTATCTCGGGGTTTTGGGGTTTTGGGGTTTTGGGG